TTCCTCATTGTCTCTGAAGTGTTCTCTAGATTGATTAGAAATGCTGTCAGTATGAATGAGATGCAGGGGTTGAGAATCACCAAAAATGGCACCACACTGTCCCACCTGTTGTTTGCTGATGATGCCCTCTTATTCTGTGCTGCTGATATTGCTAATGCTAATTGTCTTCTGAGAATCCTATCTGTTTATCAAGAGTTTACTGGGCAGAGAGTAAACTTGGCAAAATCTTCTGTCTTTTTCAGTAGAAATACTGATGTTTCTTCCAAGTTAGCTGTCTGTCATATTCTACAGGGCATTGAGTGATGCAACTCAACCAGATATCTGGGTCTACCTTTGGGATTGGGGAAAGCAAAGAGAGAAGTATTCCAATTTGTGGTTAATGCAGTTAAGCAGAAGCTTATTAGCTGGAAGAATAAATTCTTATCTACAGCAGGGAAGGAAGTTTTATTGAAATCTGTGGTAAATGCTCTCCCTATCTTTGTTATGTCTTGTTTCTGCCTTCCTGCTAGTATTTGTAAAGAAATTGTCAGGTTGAGCTCTGCTTTTTGGTGGTCCGGTGTCTTGGATCAGAAAAGAGGTATCAGTTGGGTGGCTTGGGATAAAGTAGCAGTGCCAAAGGAATTTGGGGGTCTGGGCTTCAAGGATGTCAGGCTGTTCAATGACTCTTTAATTCTGAAACAAATATGGAGGCTTTTGACAAAACCAAATGCTTTGGCCACTAAAATTCTCAAGGAGAAATACTTTCCATCAGGTTGTGTTTTTCAGGCCAAACATTGCAGCTCAGGCTCTTGGTTATGGAACTCCTGGATGAAGGTTTTCACTGTGTACAAGCAGAATTTCAGAATGGAGGTTAGAGATGGAGTAAGCACTCAAATCTTCCACCATCCTTGGGTGCCTGAGATCTCATCTGGTGTTCCATCCCTCAAACCTGCCATGCAGAACTCTCATGTGGTTTGGGTCAGTGAGCTTTTGAATGATGAAGGGAGGTCCTGGAATGTTGATCTTATCCAAGATGTTTTCACTCCAAATTCTGCTCGAGCTATCTTGAAAGTCAAATCTCTGAATCCAGAGGAAAAGGATAGATGGAGATGGCAGCCTGATAAGAATGGTAAATTTCTTGTATCCTCTGCTTATTCTGCTGCTATTCATGATAAAATGCTTAAAATGGATTGGCCTGCATGTAGTAGAAATCATATTACTGATAGGAAAGCTCGAATGAGGTGTTGGAATTTGAATGTTAAGGGAAAGCTTAAACATTTTGTATGGCGCTGTATTACTAATAGCCTGCCAGTGAGTGTGAATTTGAATAAAAGGGGCCTTAAGCTGGATCCCATCTGTCACTGCTGTGGGGAGTCTGAAGAGTCAGTGGAGCATCTGTTTTTTTCTTGCAGCAGAGCAGTTCTCGTTTGGAAACTGGCCCCAGTTTCTTGGGATGGAGGGACAGTTCCAATATCTGATTTTAGAAGATGGTGGTGGAGTGTGGCAGCAGTGGACAAGACACAAGTCTCCGAAGCCCGTATTCAACTTTCAACGTACATTCTCTGGTGGCTTTGGAAGGCACGTAACTTATGGATATTTCAGCAGGTATGGATCCCAGAATCTGTCATCATAGGAAGGGCTAGGTCCGAGTGGTCTGAGTTTTGTTTGGCTCGCGGTTAGTTGTTTGGTTTTGGTGTTGGGAGACTAGGTGCAGCTTTGTTTCAGTGGTCTTCCGAGTTAGTTGTTGTGGTTTTTTCTTGTTTCTTGTTCTTTGTTTGTGGTTTTGTTCGGTAGGTTTTCGTCGTGTGTCGGGGTCCGGAGGTTTCAAATCATTGTATTTGCCTTCAGGTCTTGTATGTTTTCTTTTTGTGTTTCTAGGCCATCTTCGGGATGGTTCTCTTATTCGTTTGCTTTGGACATTGAGAGCTAGTATGCTCTGCGGTTTGTACTTTGTTTATGTTGTTATGAGTATTTGTTTTATCGTTGGAAAAAAAAAAACACTGATGGACACACTAATACAATCACACCACCAAATGAAAACACTTTCTTTAGTGCTCTTCAGCAAGATATCAATTTTGAACACCTTAAGAAACCATTAACTGCAGAATAGATATTTGCCATCTTCTTCCCGACTTAATTACCAATAGATATCAATTACAGCTGGTTCTTGTTCAATGGTCCATTAGTGTAGCACTTCGAAGCATGAAATCTAACATGCAATATTCTTTAGAAACAAAGCTGGAAAAGTCAGCCAGCCTCTCCTTCACTCAGCACCATTCTACTTACAAATTCCAATGAACAAAATCTTAACAGAGATACCTATAATTTTACAATAAAGGTTAGAAACAGTTTAAGCTGAAATCAAACAATTCAAAACCAAAATAATGAATTTCAGAGAAACCCATTCCCAAACAATTATAAATATAAAGGCATAAATAAAGACTAAAGATTGCAGAAGGAAATGATACACACACAGGCATAACCAAACACACACATAAAAACTCTTAAAGAGAAACATTTAATTCAATAGCTTAAATTCAACAGAATTCTATTTTCTCAAGGACTATAGGTAGTAAATGAGTTATTAAGCCAATAAAGCACATATGTTCAATGAGTCACTTTCAATATATCTGAGAGGACTAGGAAGACCATAAAAATCTTTATGCATTGACAAATATTTAACAGCCTCTGAAAACATCAAATTTCTTATTGAAAGTTGTTCAATCTAATAGTATTTGACTGAATTTCAATTGAAATTTGATTGGATTTGGATCAATTTAGAATGCTTGCAGCACATTTTTAAAAGGAAGTTTTATGCACAAGAATTTAATCAATTTTGATATGTCGAAAATTTTTCTAGTTTTAAATAGTTGAGATTGAAGAAAATTGGAGGGTTTTTCAGGTGGAATTTAAATTCATGAAATATGCAAGAAATCTGACACCTATTCAAGTCCAAATTGCCACTAACATCTAGAATACAAAAGATCTATCTATCTAGAATGACATTTTGAGATGATAACAAGAAGATGCCATTTGAGAGGAAAGATAACAAGTGATCAAAGCTTTTCAAATTCACCCTTTTTCCTTTTCTAAAGTAATGGGTTCATTAAATTAGAATCACCCCAAGTGTTTTTACAGTGCAGTCAAAACCAAATTGCATGAGCATCCAAATATACAGGTTGAATCAAACAGCACAGAGGACAGTACCTCAGCCTTACTCATTTAAAGACTGCCCTGCAGCAGCTTGGCTAGAATACAGAACTTGAGAGGAAATATGTCCAATGCCCAGGAATCATCTTAACCAATCAAGCCTACCATTTGTGCCCTGTACCACCAAACCTTAAGAATGTATTTTAACCCGATTCTAACACATCAGGCCTCCCCATTGTGCATACCTCATCAAATGCACCATCCAGACGACAGTGTATCCCCATAACTTGAAGCCCTGTCTTTGCTCTGACTGCAAGCCAGGTAACTAGCATTGTTGAGACAATGATTAAATCAATACTAGTCAACAGGCCCCTGCAACCTTCTATGTCCTTAAGCCCACAGAAAGCAGATCCTCTCATCACTTCCTTTCACCTGTCACTGTTATTTCCCGTCTTAAAGCAATAGTCAAGCCAGCCATTCAGGATTCCGTCCGTCCAACTCATGCCATCATTGCTCTCAATGCTGCCCAACAATGTGAGTTCATGATTTGCCCTCATCAGATGAAAGTTGATCCTATTTTGAAACCTTCCCACCAACGTGTTATTCGATCCAAGTCCCTTCAGTCCGACGGAGCAACTAACCATTCCATATAAAAACAATGCAGCCAAGCTTACAAGACAACTACTACAAGTGCACTCTCTCAACCTTCTGAAACATGTGAAATAATTTACATTCCAACCAAGTGATTGCTCAATAACTCCAGCAAAAGTCCATGAAAATCCTGCCCACTCAGCACTGCCCTCAGATCCATCCCCCTCTTCTCCTCTCCACCATGACAATCCCTACTTTCCACTTCACTGAACACCCTCAGTTTATCCCTACTTCATCTTAACTGTAGTTCAGTCGCCTGTGCTCACAAGCCCATATGATACCATCAATCTCTCTACGAATTGCATTCCACGGGAACACAACACGGACCGGTTAGGAAATTCATCGAAACACCTGGCGCGCGTAGCAAATTTCTCCAAAGCCCGCGCCTTCTGTGATGAATTTGGTAATAATGAAACCATTTCTCTGCAACCCGTGTCCGTGTAACAGGCAGTGGCTTTGGGTGAGATGTAATTTGTGGGTGGATTTGTCGAGAAGACAAGTGTAGAAAAGCTCAGCCTTCCTTTTTGGGTAGATATTGTTTTTTTAATTTATTTGGATTTTGGGGCGAGTTGAGACTTGAGATGGTGAGTGATTGGGCCAATGGGCTTAATTAATTGGACTGGATATGAAACAGTGTTAATTATTGGACTTTTTTCAAACTTTCTATCCCTTTAGTTTCACTTAAAAATTTTAATAATCACTAAATTTTTTTTTTAGAACAGTAATAAGTAGATATTGTTTTAATTACTCCTTATAATATACGACTAAAAATGTTATTTATTTTCTTTTTTACTCCTATTTTTTTTTTATTTTAAATAGGAGTGTACGAATTATTATGATGCATTTAAAAAATTTTTTACAAAGAAGTCAGAATTTAGAAGAGGAAACATTAAAAAAAATTTATTAGTTTTATTTATTTATTAATTTGAATAGGAAAAAATTAAAAGGGCATACATACTACTATACTAGCTACTACTGCTAGTTAATAATTATAATTATTACTAATTAGAAACAGACTCAACACTTGCATAACATAGCACAAGTTTATTCATACATAATTAATTTCAATAGCACGCAGATTAATTAATTATAAGAGGGCATACAAATTACAAACTGTTAAATATTAATTATTAATTAATTAATTAATTTATTCATAATTCCAAGTCCAAGGCTTGTATAACATATATAGTTTTTATCATTCCATGCATGCATCGAAATGATCAGACTGTAGGCATCCATGCAATATCACCGAAACGTAGGAAGTGACATATGGGGTTTCCACCAGGCTTCTCGTTCCTGAGGCTCTGAAACGCCACGTAGCTTGGATTCCAGCCGGATGTGTCCCGGTGACACGTAGCTACGGCATCCACCCGCGTTCCATTTACTCCTCCGGCCGGCTCGTCCTCCAGAGTCACCTCGTAAGCCACGGTGTCAAGAATCCTGTGACATTGGAACACACCATAAGGAAAATATCTTCTGTGGCATACGACGAGTATCTTCCTTCCACCACCGCTCGAACCCGACAGTACACTCTTAACCCCGGAGACCTTGAACTCCTTGACCGAACCGATGCTGGTACCGTTCGTCCAGACTGCGGTGACATGTTTCCCGAGTTGAGATGTTGTAAAATCAATCATGCCTTCGAGCGAGGTGACGCACTGTATCTTCTCCCCCTTGACCGGCCGTGGATCCCGACAGTCGTTTATGGTGGTGTTGATCTCCCTGGCGGGGTCGGATCTCGGATCCATGTTGAACAGATTCAGAACGTGTGGTGCCGAGAAGGGAATCCCGTCGGCGATGCGTCGGGGTAAGAACTTGGCTCCGGCGGTAGATTTACCAAACTTGAGACGGAATGTCCGGCCAACAGCATGGCGCAGATCATCCTCCAAGAAGAAGAAGGCGGTTGCTGCAGTCTTAATGTCGTGAGGGTGGCCGGATTTGGGATTGTATTTTGAGTACTGGGCGTACCGGATGGTGATATTATCCAGCCAATCTGCGATGAAGCAATTAATTAAATTAATTATTTAACACTTAAGAAATACTATTATTAATTAAATAGCATTTAATTTGATGAATGATATTATATTATATTATAAATATATATACTTACCTGAGGTTGGGCCGTATAGGAGGTCGGAAAGTGCGGCGGTGGTGTTGTATGGAAGCTTCGACTTCCAGTAGTCGAGGGGTGACATGTTATCCTCGGCGGCGGGGGCGGGGAGGGCGGGGGCGGCTATTATGAGGGAGAGCATGGTAAGGAACGAGAGAGAGTAGAGCTCCATGATGAACTTAGCTTAGCTAGCTGGTATATTTAATTAAGAAAGAATACGGATGGACTAGAGGAGACTGATGATGAGACCTACTTTCCTATCACCCAAGATAACTCCGAACCCTTTATATAGGCGTAGATAGCTACGATGGAGGCCTTTTAATTTTATTCCTCCCTTAGACCTTCTCCAACCGAACAACTCAAACTCAAACCCATTTTGCAGTAAATGTCACATTATACAGTAATTCATCTTCAACCGAAAAACTCATTCTCAAACCCAAAAGAATATTCTCAAAATATTCTCATTCACATCAACTTTACAACTTTTCAATACTACCTACATATTTAACAATTTTACAAATTAGTCCCTAATTGTTTTATATTCGATTGAAAAAATATTAAATTAATTTTAAATAAATAATAAGTATTAATTAAAAATATTTAATACATATTAATTTTTGGTAAGTAAAAAGTTACAATATTCTTTATTTTAAATTTGAATAATGTTTTAGAAAGTTTATATTATTTAAATTTATTATCAATGTTTTCTTAAACTTTTTTATATATATATAAAAAAAACTTAATATGTTATTTCTTAATCTCTATATTTTCTTATACTTTGATATATATATATAAAAAAACAACTTTAACACTATACAGAATATATATACTTTTGTTCAGTAATTATTAAACACTTATATTAAACTTTTATATTAAAAAATTTGTTCACGAAATTTTGCATACTTACATTAAAAATTTATATTGATAAGTAATATGTTATAGACAAATTATAAATATTAATAAATAAACTAAAACTTAATATTTGAAAATAAAAGGGCCAAAACACAAATAAAAAAAAGATTTGTGTTTAAGAACAGTAAAAACGCATATATGCGTTTGGGAGGAGAGAGAAAGTGATCAAAACCCATTTTGCGTTTGCGTTTAAGTACCGGTTGGAGCAATTTTTGGTGTTGCGTTTGGTTTTGGTGTTCGGTTGGAGTTGCTCTTAGGCCAAACCAAGATGAACACTTCTTATTTTTTAGGTGGGTTAATACACTTTTTCAACAATTAATATCTGAAGTTGTGCAAAACAAAAAATTCTAAAAATTAAATTGTTCAAAAATAGAGAATGAGACGATTACAACAAGACCTCACTTGACTATTTTTAGAGTTACATAAGTACAATTAAATTAAGAGTTAAACTCGACTGTTAGAATTTGTGAAAGAAAAATAACTCAATATATCATTCCATAATACGATGCAAAGGGTTTATATTAGACATGGCCACGGGCCAACCCGGCCCGTGGCCCGACCCGTGACCCGGTACCGGCCCGGCCCGACCCGGTACCGGTACCGGCATGAATAGTGCCGGTTTTTAGAACCGGACCGCGGCCAATCCGGTCCGGTTAAGGGTCACGGGTTTTTTTCTTTTGTCCTGGCCGGGCCGCGCCGGGTCGCATTGCTTTTTTGTGGATTTTTAAGGGCCGTACCGGCCCGGAACCATCCGAGACCCGCCGGGCTATTGAACCGGCGGTTCCGGGCCGGTTCTATGAACCGGCCCGTATGTTTCTTCAAAAAGTCCTCCTCAGGTTATGTTTGTAGACTCATCCACCCACCCACAACTAAAATTATTCTTTTGGATGAAATTGATATAAAACCAAATTACAATCCTAAAAGGTTAGCGGACAAAAAGCAGAAGAAGCGTGCAAAGTTAGTAGATATATATATATATATATATTTCGATGTTCACATGCACTTACTTGTGAAATTGGGGGTGGCATTAATTTGGGTCTAACACTTTGTAGATGAAGATTTCCACAAAGGATCTAAAATAACCAGAAAAAGATTATATTGTAAACTTGAGGTTGAGGGGGGACCAAACAAAGAGATACCGAGAGGAGAGTGATGAATGCAATTGCACTCAATGGTGTGGCCCAAATTACTAAACTACACTACACTACATACACATTCTTATCAAATTAATTAATTGTTTACCTCAAACGAGCGGGCATTAATTGTTGGGCTCACCACCCACGACTATGAATTCAGGACGGGACACGGTCAAATAGATAAGACTTTCAACCAGCTGACGATATCGAGTGGGATCAGAAAGAGGAGTATCGTCCAACGGGGTAAGACGGGAGGCAGTATCAATAGGTGAAGAGGCAGTCTTGCAATCAGTAAGACCAGCCTGAGACAGAAGATCAGAGGCATACTTGGCTTGCGACAAGGTGTAACCATCGAAAGAAGACGAAACCTCAAGGCCAGTGGCGAAACTATGTACATAATTGGAGAGGCTTGGGCCCCTCCAAAAAAAAAAAAAATTAAATTAAGGGATTAAGGGTAGAGGATTTTGCTGGAACTGAAAGATTTTTTTTGAGCGCGCATGTTGGGCCCTCCCCGGTTTCATGCGGTACATACATGGCCGGAGGGGCGCCACCGATTTTATCGTGAAAATTATTTTTAAAGACAAATTGGATTCTCCCCGAAATGGGATCCTGGTTTCGAGACAAGGAGAACTATAATAGCAGCAGAATTTAATAATATTTTCATTTTTATTATATTTTGAGTTGGTTAATTAGTCGACTTGCGGTGTACCGTCGGGACTCAAAAATTGAGTCGATTATTACCAAAAAATACTTTTATGAAAGTACGGGAAGCAGAGAGTGCATTGGTGGCATCAATTTATGATTTTGAGGTCTCGACCATTTATTTTGGGTAGCCCGAAGTTGAGAGAAAAATGACAGTGGCGATAATTTTATTGTCATTTTCATGTCTAGACTTCGGGTAACCGTCGGCCCTCGTTAGACATGCTAAAAATTAGCGGGAGTGCTTTCTTGAGAGCACGAGAACAGTAGAAGCCGTTTGTAAAATTTATTTCACGTTTCGAAGTTTCGAGCATTTATTTTGAGAAGCTCGAAGTCGAGTGCGCATAATAGAAGAATAAAAAAGCCGTTTTGCGGGGTTCCGTAAGGTTGCGTGTGACCTCGGTTTAACGAGAATCGAGTTGGAGCGTGTAGACAATTCAAACACGATTCTGTACGGACAAATTTTATATTTTTTGAAGTTCCGAGCATTTATTATGGGAGTTTGAATTTCTGCGTTAAATAGTATTAAAATGAGCAAATTTGTCGAGGACGAGTTCGATCGTTCGAGACTTTGTTTTCTCAATTTTTAAGTTTTTCGTCTATTCGAAAGGAGATATAATTCTTGATTATTATTATAATTGAGTCCTTAATTTTTATTAATATAAAATTCGAGTATTTTTAGAGTTAAAACAATTCAGTTTAAGTATACCAGTTTAATTCCGGACTTAGTTTGATTTTTAGAAAAATCTCTAGAGTATTCCTTTATATCCTGCGAAAATTTTTGAGAGCGTCCACAAAAGTCCTTTGAGCGCCCTTCTAATGTCGGAGTGGGGGTGGTGCGCCGCGGGATTGCGGAGTGGGGTGATGCGCCGCGACAAATTGGGCCCCTCCCGAGCTGACTGGCTAGTTTCGCCACTGCTCAAGGCCTAAAAAATAACGAAGATCACCAAGACTCTTCATCTCAAAATGAGAAGATAAATAAGTCTGTAAATCAGAAATGCCAGCAGAATCACTGCCTGTAATGATCATGTCATCGACATAGAGCAACAGAATAATAACACCTGAAGTAGTGCGCCGAATAAAGAGAGCAGTGTCGTAAGGACAAGTAGTAAATCCAAAGTGGCAAAGAGCTGAACTAAACTTGGCATACTAAGCACGAGGAGCCTGCTTAAGACCATAGAGAGCCCGACGCAGTTTACAGACCTTACCAGGAGGGGGAGAATAACTAGGAGGAACATTTATATAAACATCCTCAGATAAGTCCTCATGTAAGAAAGCATTCTTCACATCCATCTGAAGAAGTGACCAGCGGCGTGCAGCAGCAACCGCAAGAAGACAACGGACAGAAGTAAGCCGCGCAACGGGGGCAAAAGTCTCCTCAAAATCAACACCATATTCCTGAGTAAATCCTTTCGCTATTAATCGAGCCTTATATCGTTCCACAGTCCCATCAGACTTAGTCTTTATCTTGTAGACTCACCGACAACTGATTGTAGTCTTCCCAGGTGGAAGATCAACCAAATCCCATGTATGAGTCCGCTCAAGAGCCTGCAACTCATCGGACATAGCAGCCTGCCATAAAGGATCAGTAGAAGCCTCTCGAAAAGATCGGGGCTCATGCAAAGACAAAATAGCAGAATAACAATGATAGTTAGCAAAATGAGCATGCCGGACACTTACACGAGTGGACCGGCGGGGAGCCGGGTCAGCAGAAACCATATCCCGATCCGGAACAGGCACAGGAGGCACATCCCTCTGATACCATGTTAGAATTTTTGGGTCCCACTTTACTAGTATGATATTGTCCGCTTTGGGCTAGGGTCGTGCCCTCACGGTTTTGTTTTCGGGGACTTCCTCCCCAAAAGGCCTCATTCTAGTAGAGTTAGGTGGACACTTATATATTGGACTTATTCTTCATATTTATTCGATGTGGGATTCTCCAACACCTCCCTCAAGCGCAAGGCGCTTGAATACGAAACGAGCCAAGAAACACCGGGTCGGGGCTTAACACGGGCCACACAGCAAGCGGGTCGGGCTGAACAACATCACGGAGACAACGAGCATTCCTCCGGACAAACTGAGACGGGGCCAGCATGGACGAATCGGGCTCTAATACCATGTTAGAATTTGTGAAAGAAAAATAACTCAATATATCATTCCATAATACGATACAAAGGGTTTATATACAATCGAGATAATCGAACTCGGGCCGGAAAGCTCATATACTAACACATACTACATATACATAGTTATATATATATATACTAACATCGACAAATAAATAGTAGCAAAAATTCGAACCGGTCATCTTGACTCGAACGAAGTTAGTATTATTATTATTATTATTATTATTATTATTATTATTATTATTACTCGTAGTCGTAGCAACCTAGCTAGCTAATTTTGGCTTAAAAGAACACAACCT